AATCGTCGTTGCAGCTTGGAGATTTCCTAAAGAGCTCCCTCGAGTGTAATTCTAAATTCCGAGTGTAGTAATGACTGAGGAGATTTGCGATAAAAGAGAACAAGAGAATAAAGGACAAAAACCGACAACCGGCATCGACCGGCAATGCAAGTGTGTGTGCGTGCGCACAAGGCCGGTCCAAATTGCAAGCGATTGAAATCGTAGAAGAGTGCAACGGGCTGCTCCACCCATCGTCAAAGGGCAGCCAACGTCGAGATAGCGTGGTGCCGTAAACATCTGTTGTTGGGCCTTTGTGTCAGCTGGGGTTTCGCCTTATCGCATGGGGGTGTGCATGGGCATGTAGCAGCTGAGCAAGTTCCGTCTGTGTCGATCTGCTTATTTGCCCCATAGGTTGGTTCCGAAGTAGGTAGGCGTGTGTGTGTGTGTGTGTGTGCGTCTTTGGTGTGTGTATAGACCGATGTGCCAGTCAAGACGATGAGAGTGGCCAAACGACTGCTCGCAAGTCATGTTCATCGGAGAGCCAGCCAGCGACACAGTATAAGATTTGGAGGGGAAGCAGTGGCAGCTGGCACTGCTGTGCGCACCCCAGGATTGCACCTGTGCGGAGAGGATGAAAAATCTGAGCCTGAGCTCTCGAGGCTGTTCTGTCACTCGCCCAGTCGCAACGCAGTCGCAGCCTCCGCAGCTCTTTCCGCCTTTGCGAAGGCATGTCCACGGGACTCCCAATTGCGAGTGTGTTTTCGGGTCAGTTGAATCGCTTCCCGCGGCATTAATTGCACTAGCTGTGGATGTCCGGATGTAGGCCGACAAGAACGCTGTCTCCGTGGCATTGCTACGGAGCCTGGCAGGAGTTAAAGAGCAGAGACACTAGAGAGACAGAGAGGGAGCAGGCGAAGCCTTGAGAACCCTATAAACTCAGCTGAGAGGATTGCAGGTGGAGCCTTCGGCCGCCGCCTTCAACGCTGCAAGCTCTACAAGGCCGCCACCGCCACAGGAAGTTGGACTCCGACCGGAGTCGGACCAATTCAAAGCTCTGGCCGCGGCCTCTGGCAGGTACTGGAAAGAGAGTCTCTTGTTCCTGCCGCGTTCCAAGGTCTTTTCATTGCTACTAGTGATTACTAGCGCTAACCAAGGCTTTGGGGAGAGGTCTTGGGGGTCGCGGCCACGGCCGCGTCGGCAGGAGCCAGGATCCGAGTGACACGGCCAGAGTTGGTTCACTGGGGTCCCTGGTAGGGAGCCGAGGCCAAAGTGAAAGCCTTCGAATCCGGGAGTCAGTGGCAAAGCATCCTGTCATTGGGAAGGCCACAGCAACCCGCCAGCATCTCCCTGCCAGGAAACCGCTACGCTCGCGCTCAGGCTTGGTAGCCGAGCTGGAGGGGGAGCCGCGGGGATGGTGTCAGCGGTGTCCGCCTGCGAAGAGGCACTCGCAGGAAGGCCGGAAGACGCTTTTGAGAGTGCAGGCGTTTTCTTTTGGAGGCCAGCGAATGGGCCAGGACCACGGCGCTGCTCCTGCAGGCCAGGCCACGGGCCACAGGCGGCGGGGAGAGTCGGAGTTCCGCTCCAGGCGCCGCTGCCGCCGGAAGCCCACAGAAAGCCCAGGGCCGCCGCCGCGACGGGAGTTTTCAAGCCTGAGGCCTTCGGTTGCAGCCTGGAATTCGGCCATGGCTTCGGAGGCGCGGCCGCATGCACCGCTTTCACTTTCAAGGCCGCGACGCCTTGCCCCTTAAGCCGCATTGCCGTGCAGGGCTGGCGGGCGGCGCTCTCCAGCCTGGACCGTCGAGACCCCAGAACTTTGAAGCGCTGGTGACCGGTGACAGGCGGTCCGCCTGCCGGCCTTTGCGCTTTGCTTGTGCCTCCGCGCTCGCGGCCCAAGACACGCCCAGCGCGTCCGTTGCCTGACGAAGACACAAGACAAGAAGAAATGCTCAGACTCTTCAGCTCCTCGGATGCCCAAGAGACCCGCAGCTGCTTTTCTTTAAGAATTTGCTTCACGTGCTGAGGTTTGTTTCTGGCGCTACTGGCGCTCTTTGAACCTACTCTCAGCAATCGATTGGCAAGGCAAGAGGAAGCCGACAGAGAGGCAGCGACGGTACCCTGTGGATGCAACAACAAGGCCAGTTGAAGTGCCCTGGCAATCTCCTTTCGCAAGCAGCTTCCGCAAGCCTGCAGTAACACATTTGCAGGTGGGTGTTCTGGCACCAAAACACGCCTTGCCTGGCATATCCATTGCGGCGGATGCAGAGTGCTCTCGCCCTAAGCCGCCCGGACTTACGAAAATCATTAGGCCTTCGGGCCTAAGGCTACGTCGTGGCAACGTAGGGCTTAAGCTTTGGCATTGCCTTGCTCTTTGCCTTGCTCTGCCTTCCTAGGGTCCACAAGTCCCTCACGGGAGGAAAGTACTGCAGCTGTGACGAGGCCTGAGGTCTGAGTCGTCGTACCATGTGATCATGCCGCACGATTCTTCGTCTCCGTGCAAAAGCAGCATGCGGCATGCGGATCTTAACATGAGAGCACCTCGTCTCGTTTCTCGAGAAGACTTCAAACTCGGCTCCGTCTTTGCTGCAGGGCAAAGCGAGGAACTGGAAGGAGGCTCTCGGAGAGGCTCAGGCTGAGGTGGAGAAGGTCCTCGAGCCAAAACTCGATGCCATGAAGAAGGCGGTGGCCGAGCTGGAGGCGATCTGGAGGCGATCTCTGCGCTTTTTCTCTCTTCAGCGGCCCTTTTTTCCCAGGAGTCTCTGGGCATCGAGATCGACGCCTCTTCACTGTCCAAGGTCCAGTTTCTCGTGCGGCGGTTTCCGCGCAAGAGCCTGGTCGAAGTCTTCGGGGTACTGTGGGCCCTACAGCGCTTGCGTGCATATTCTGCATCCGGATGCCAAGGGCTGGACAAGGCCTTTGGGCCTGCTGTTGCCAAAGCCAGGCTGCTGGCAAGTGCCAGAAGGATGCTGAGGCGACCGCGACGCGACCGCGTTTCTTTAGCGGCGCGGAGCTTCTTTTTTGTCCTCAGATGGAGTCCAGACTCTGGCGAAGCGGCTTTCACCACGAGGCTTGGGAGCCGGAGCTCTGCCGTTTTGCCATGTCGCTCTTTAGGATGGGATGTGCCTGGCACATGCGCCGACCAGAACCGCGCGCCAAACTCGCCATCCGGCCTCAGTTTCGAAAAGTCGCGTCTGACATCTGCACAGCCTCAATGAGGACAATACGTGCCACATTTCAGGGCCATCGCCGCTGTTGTCAATGCTTTCGACGGTCGATTCGCTGCGATCTGTTTCTACTTTCAACCCTTCAACCCTGTAGGACCCGTGAGCGCCCCCGCGACACCAAGACTCAGAGATCCTCAAGTCGGGCAATTGGGTAATCGGGTAAGCATGGTCACTGCGCCACAGGCCGCCACAGGCCTGAGCAAGGCGTCGCGTTGGGGGTGAAATGATCCAAGCAGCGCAAGTCAACCTCAAAAGTCAACGACACGAGAATGACAGAGTTCTTGCAAGCTTGTAATATATGGGGAATGGATGCAGCGAGTCCTGTTGCAGAAGCGTGAAAATTCTAGGTGGTGTGACAGACACAATTCGGCAAAAATCAGCCATCACGCCTGGAGAGGCGGTGGGTTTCAGAAAAGGGATCAACCTCCAATTCCTGCTGAGGGGGCCAGGGTTAAGAAAAGGGATCAACAGCCATCGCCTCATGAGGGAACTGATTTCTGAAATGGGACCAAGCGCTATCGCCTCTAGGGGAAGGGTTGGACACCATGACTACAATTCTTCCCCCCGTGCACAGTCGCGACTTGGAGATACGCCCAAAGTGGGACCGACAGGCTTGCCCCATGCACTAGAAGTGTGTAATGAGTAGGATGTGACCGCAAAGTATGCGCCATACCATGGCTGGAGTAGGATTTATGAGCAGCCAGCAAGACAACGTGGAAAATGCACAAACACGCATCACACAAAGCTACGTGTCCACAAGGGCAAGACCGGTGCGAATTCTAGGATTTGGGTCATGTTCGCAGCACGAACCCCTTTGTCCCTCGCCCCTCTTCCGCCTTAATGTCCCGACCCCAGACCACAAACCCGCGCATTCGCAGCCCTTGACTTCAGGCAAAGTAAAGTGGGTGTAAAGCCCCGCCAGCAACCATGTGAGCCATCTTGTGTGTAGGATTGTCATGGCGGAAAGTAGGCAGACGGTCTGTGCGCAGGTTCTGCGAGTGCTTGCGTCATGCGCATCGCGGCCCATTAGATGTGCTGGTGCTGCAGCTTATAACCTGAAAGGCACCGCTGCGAGCCTGTGGGGAGGCGCAGGGGGAGGGCCGGGGGGGTGGGGGCGGTTGGAGTAATTTTCGTGGGCCTGGATGGTCGTGGTGCCTACCGGCAGGAGGACCAGACGGCGACGACAACTGCCGGGAGCACGACCTCTGAGCCGAGAACTACGCCTGCGGAGCCTGAGTCGACAACGACTGCGCCGAGTACCACGCCGGAAGAGTCCACATCTGCGAAACAACAGCTCCCGACCCATTTGCTCACGGCCATTGGAGATTTCCCAGAGTCGGAGATCCTGAGCCGCAGATGAGCCTTCAAGACTTCAAGCATGTCCAAGCATCCAAGGAGTGGAGTGATTCCACCGGCTGCGGCAGGTCCGACAG